GGGGGGGGGGGGGGGGGGGGGGCGGGCGTACTCTTATGTTTTGCATGCCTTAGTGGTTAGACCATTGACCACGCGTCCTCGAGAGGACGGAGCATTGTTCCCACAGGACCGATCACCGATGGCCAATCGTTCCTTCCTACTTTGCCAAAGGTGGCTCAAAAATGTCGTCCCTAGTCTGTCTATCCTAACGATATCCCTTCCCGCCTTTTCAAACCACTTCCTTCTCCCCAGTACAGCTACCGTCCTCTCCTCTCTATTCCATGCCTCGAACATCTCCCTGTACCTCCCTTGTATTTTTCCCAGCTCAGTCATGTACACTTCCCTCTCCTTATTGTACAGCCGACATGCCGCGACTACACGAACACGGTCTTCGAATTCGAAGCCGCAATCACATTTGAACTTGTCGTCTTCGTCGTCTACCTTCCTATGTCTTCGTCGACGTTCTCGAAAGCCTATGTCCCCGGTCCTGAATTTGACCTTAAGCTGTGTCCCTGCATCCATTCGTCCATGTAGGTAATCCTTGAACCCTATTCCTTCTTTCAACATTCCGTACACTTCTAGACCCTCCTTATCCTTGGTTTCTTTCCTTAGATTATGTTCTTCTCTCTCGGCACAAGCAACAGATATCTTCTCCTTGAACCCCTGTAGACCCTCCGTTTCCAGCGTTTCATCTTCGTCGATGTCTAATAACCCCTTCCATACGTCCTCTACAACCTTGACCCATTCCGTGGGTTGTCTACCCCTCTTTATGTTTGCCCACTTCGCCTCCCATACTATTCTCGGCAACCTCTCCTCTCCCATCCCGCACATGCGATACTGCCATGTCAGCTTCCTTGCGTCTCTTCCCGACCGTAGGGATTGGATCCCCAATTCTGCCCTGACGGCTGCATTACTTGTGCGCTTGGAGCATCCTAGGATGATTTTCGCTGCTTTCATCTGCGCCGCCTCGAGTTCTTTCACTACCTTCTTATTTCCTTCCCATACTTCTCCGGCGTACTCTAGCGGCGGTACGATTACGCTCTTCAAAACCGTCCATGTGATGCGTGTATCGAGGTGCCGGTTTGCGAGTATTGGGTGCAGCTTCCCTGCTCGTGCTTTGCCGTTTTCCGCTACCTTGGACATGTGTGCATTCCACGAGCAGTCTTTTGCGATCTCTACACGGGTGGGAAGGGACAAAAAATACGACAGTCGTGACAGTCCCACGAAAAGACGCGGCGCGCGTCTGGCACAGGCGGGAGGACACGGGAGTCTCTCCAAAAAGACCCTCCCAGACGTGTCGCGAAAAACATTCGGCTCGAATCTCGCTGCTCGCTTCTCGCTGTTCGCCAGGGTTGGGCGATGAGAAAACAAACATGAGCTTGCAATGGTTCCGGCCACGCGTGCGTGAATGTGCTACCGCCGCGCCCCCGCGCTTATAACCAACAGCGTGGTGGAAAATGACTCAGTCGTTACCCCTGTTGATCGCCTGGGGGCAGTTCCAATTCACAAGGCAACAGTCAATGTGATAGCATGTACCACCACGGAAACTGGGCAACGAGCGGTCGAAGAAAGCTCATGGAAGCTTAACCTTGACGCGCATGTGCCTATGGTACCTGATGGCAGCCTCCGGGGGGTACTCCTGCAGGTTCGCCGCCAGCGACGGGACCAGGCTCCCGGGCTCCCGCTTGTCCTGACCAAAGCCAAGGGAAAAAAAGCCGCGGCAGGACAAAACGCGAAACCCATCGTAGGAGCGGCGTCCGACGCTTCAGGCGCCGCTCTATCCCGAAGGGAAACGAAACTCCGAGTCGAGTCGGGAAATCAATGCCGCCTCTGCCCCACAGGCGAACAAACACCAACCTTCCACAGTAAACCCCTAAACATCCGGCCTTCCTCCATCCATGCGACGACACAAGTGGTCCCGAACCCCCCCCACCCGGCACTATCTCAGAGTACGTATGAGACCACTTGAGAAATTTCATCTGTTTGTAGCGAGCGGGGTTTGACCAGCCCTTATCCCGGGTGATCGACTTGTATGTAGCCTTTTTTCAGGGACCACTACTGGTCGACTGGGGAAAATGGGCGGCTGAACTGTTCTCGCGATAAAAGCCAAATAACTCCACAGGGGAGAGGTCCGGCACAAAAGCAAACAATACGAATACAACAGACTAGCTATGTGGTGACCTACTTCCTGCGTGTGGCCCCGGCTGACACATCAAACAACACCACGACGCCAGGTGTGTAGACTGGCGCCAGAGTACATAGATGGGACGAACACGCAGACAAACTAGCTGCACGGCACCTGAAAACGCCATCCAAGGTCGGACAGATCCTTCAGCTCTGAGGCTAAGTACGACGGCACCCCCTTCTTCCGGATGAGGTCCACGTAGCTGAACAGCGCCGTCAGAACCTTGAAACGGTTCGACAGGCCCTCCGGCGTCAGGTCGACCTCGATCTGGGTCGCAAGCAGTGAGGGGGCGGGAGGGTTGAGAGAAAAAGTAGTAGGGGGCATTCAAGACGGAGATTGGAAACGGAGATTGGAACTTGGGGGCAACAATCGGTCCTACAGCTGAGAGAAGAAACCCCGTGTGATTTGGACTTGTACCTAACTGGTGGTGTTTGTCGGATTAGAGGCGCGGCGGCGACGCAGCGACCACTCCGGGCAGGGTGGGGATAGGGGGCTTGTATTGGCTTACCACGTAACAATTAGCGCTAGAGGGCGAAAAGGCCACGCTGAGAAGGCAGGCATCTCCCCCCGCCCACACACCACACAATCGTACACTAAAAACCCCTTCCTTCCGCACAGCACGGACGGTGCGACACGCCAAGCAACGCGGGATAATCCCTGGCGAACCATAGAACGGCGGTCTGATGTTCTGCACATTTTCCAAACACAACATCATGATGTTTACGGTCGCACAGCAGTAGTGTACCTCCAATCTCCAACAACAATATCATGATGAATACGGTCACGCAGCTGCAGTAGTTGTCGTGTCCGTGTCAACGTCGTTTTTTTTTCCCACGAGTCCTTCCTTTTCGTTGGCGTGCGCATTTCCTCCAAGCACTGTCGAGTACACATCTCATCTATGGCACAATAGCGTCTGTCACTGCTGTGGGTGTACCTCATATATGGCGAAGTCGTCCGTGAAGGTAGACGCGGCCGCCCCGAGAGCGTTGGCCCAGTTCTTCGCCTTGAGGTAGGACAGGAGTGACCCTGGACCCTCGTGGCCCTGCTCTCGAGACCAGCGGGAACGCATCGGCACAGGCAACAAGCCAACGGTATAGGGGAGGACGCGAGTAGGTGTAGTCGTCGGCATCCTAGACTCAGAATCCAGCTGCAGTACTATTTAGTGCAAAGGACTGTTTTTTTTTTCCGGCAGCCGTGGTCTTTCTGTCTGTCTGTCTGTCTGTCTGTCTGTCTGTCTGTCTGTCTGTCTGTCTCTCTCTCTCTCTCTCTCTCTCTCTCTCTCTCTCTCTCTCTCTCTCCCTCCTCTTTCTCCCTCCCTCTCTCTCTCTCTCTCTCTCTCTCTCTCTCTCTCTCTCTCTCCCTCCCTCTTCGTTGTGTGTTTGTGTGTGGAAACTCTCTCTCTCTCTCTCTCTCTCTCTCATTCTTTCTGCCTCTGTGTGTTTGGGTGTGGACAAGAGCAATTCGACACGAGACACGAGGCAGACATCCGAGTAGAATCTGGTACAAGGTGCGGTGGTTCGTCCATGGAAATCATAAAATATTAGTTTCGATCATTTGAAAAGGCTTTATCAAAGTGTTCCGATGACAATTTTATCGACCACGCACATCAAAGACAAACCTCATGAGCTATATCTACCCATAGGACGCCGTGAGTTCTTTGACTTCAACACCGAGCTAGAAAGACGCTGACACACGTCAATCGAATATCCTGCCCCCGCCATTGCTCTCTTCAGGTAGAAAGCTAAAGAACAGCGACCCGTATGTTGTCCCAAACAAGACCGAAGATCGCACGCCAGACAAGAACCATCACGGACCAGCACACGCTCTGCGTTCGCCGTACAGCAGATATCACAACCGCAGGAGTTGATTGACCATCGTTCTGCCTATTGCTAAAGGGTAGATTGAACACAGATGACGGGGCTGCAGTTTGGTCGACAAAAAAGGATACTCAAAGAGGTCGACAAAATGGGATACTCCCCAAGAGGGCGGCAGCCTTCGACCTTCCTCACCCATCCACCCATCCACCCACTCGCCCACAGCAATACAAACAACAGCCTCTTAGTTCGACTATTAGGAGTTGGATGTTGGCCTCGATCAGTATGAAACGTACGAAACCACCGAGGCACACGAAAACATGCGATGACCTATGCATAATATCGGTGAAAGGCTTCGCGGCGCAAACCACAAAAAGCTTCTGAAACACAGCCGCAGAATGGCCATACGCTGTCGTGAGTCTGTCGCTAATGCCTTGTGTATTTTTCGTGTGAGTGTGCAGGCAAAACACACTACCGCAGTAGGCGTAAACTTTGTATGTATACATAGGAGCGGACCCGAAAGTGTGAATGAAGTATGTCTCCAACCAAGCATTGAAATATCAATAACCTAACAGCAGCGGGGGGAGGGTGGCTATCCCATAGCGACGAGACGCAACATCTACGCCTCACCAGGAGAGAGCCGATGTAGGTGAAGGGCTTGGCGACAAGGACAGCTTGCCTCTCCTCCGGCGTCTCGAAGGACAGGGGCCACGCGATGGCCACCGACCGCAACTCCTGCGATCGTGTCGTGCGAACGGAAAAAGGGGAAAACAAAAGCAAAAAAGGACGAAACGACAGAGAGACGAAAATATGAGAGCTAGGAAACAGGGATGAATCACAGGCGACGTACACGTTTGACGAAGAGGAAAAACACGAAACTCCGCAAAAAACCAAAGGCCATCCATATGAATCATTAATACCGCCCCAGCTCCACGGAGAACATGCGTGGCATCCAAGTATTACAACCGTGCGGAAATACCATCGACCCCCAGTCCATCCCCCCCCCCCCCCCCCCCAGTCTTTCCGCACCTGCACGGGGACGATGTTGTAGGCCTGCAACGGTTGGTTACCCAAGAACGGTTTCACTTTCCCGATCCACTTCTCGGACGGCCTTCGTCCGCTGCCGCGGTTGGGCACCGGGCCAAACATGCCGTCCACGGTGCTTTGCAGCTGCGACAGGGACTCCTTCCCGAGAACGGCGAGCGTCATCTGGTTGGCCGAGTAGTACCTTGGTCGTTTTTTTTTTTTTTGTTCGGCGTATCACGTTGAAGTTGTTGGTTGTTGGTTGTTATTGTTGTCGTTGCTGTGGTGGTGGAGACGGTGAAAGATTCAAGCATGGTCTATCTCTGGCTGGGGTCCATGGACTCCGGTCCGCATTTGTCTGGTGCGCAAAACTGAGTTGTCGTTGTCTCGCCGGCTGTAGCTGTTGTGATTTTGCCCGTTTGTCTGCTGCCTAGAGCGTTAAAAGACGCACCGAAGCATTCCGCTGGACACACGTAGCCACGGTACAACCCAAGGTCGACTCCCTCACATGTCGAAGAATCGGAACAACGCCTGCCTGGCGCTCTTTCCCTGGGAGGACGGTACGTCGAGCAGCGTCTTCTTGTTGCCCGTGCCGAACTTGGAGTACGGGTGCAACCGGTTGGCCCTTAAAACGTGCAACGACAACAAGAGCCAGCAGTGGCGAGACAAGAACAAGGAAGGGTGCAACCAAGTCACGTTTTGATACAGGCTGGAGTTGAGTGTCAGCCCAACAAAACACAAAACGAACCCAGCGAGACAAAACAAGCGTACAACAAACAGCTCAAATATTTCATTAGGCAGGCAGGGAGTGACGAGAACTGTGCTGATAAACCTAGAGCCGGTCTGAAACACGACTGCAGAACGTTTCTCGTCGTTGCATTGCGCCTGGCATCTGGCGAACCGGATAGGCACAACCTTTCGCTGGTGGGTACACTCTCCCGATCGTACTGCACTGCGCCGATCAGCAAATGGGCTGGCGCCGGTGTTGGTTCTTGATTCATCGCATCGTACAGCAGCACACAGCGTCCTCCCCGGTGGCTCACGGCGCCTACGTTGTGCATTGCTGCTGTCGCAAGAACGAGATATAGTCTACCCGGCTTCTTCTTTTCTTGGTTTTTCTTCTTGTGTTCGTGAAGAACGTTGAGTGAGGGTGCTGAGGGAGAAGTGGTGTTGTAACGTCTCGATCAAGCGAGCGTTTTGCGAGGATTTGGTTGAAGGGAGGATCTCATGGACAAAAACCAGTCAATTCCTCGTCCAGAATCGACTTCCCTTGTCCCACGCCGCCGTCTACCAGCCAAACAGCTAGAACCTGTACTTTCTCTCGAACATTATACCTCAAAGGTACGCTATTATTTACCTGCTGGGTAGCACCGAGTACCACAAACACTGGTGCGATAAGAACAGTTGCGGAGAGAATCCCGCCCGTCCGTACCTGAGTTTTTCCAGCTGGTACCCTCGGAAAGCATCTGATATTTGGTTCTTCGCGTTCTCGGCTTCGATGGCGTTCAGCTCCCGCCCGGTTGCCGCCTCGGTAAACTTGACAAAAACAAAACAACAAAAAAACAAAAAAAATGGAGAAAAGGAGACAGCAGCGGGAGGATGGAAAGGAGAAAGTTACGGAGAGACAAAGGAGGAGGAGGAGGAGGCAGAACAACCCTTCCACATCGGAGCGATGGCAACCAAAACTAGTGCGGGAGGATTGATTGGTTGATGTATTCGATCGCGTGTCCATCTCATCCTGAATGCTGCTGTCAACCTGAGGAGTGTCAGGTATTCAACATCTTCGGCACGCAAGGTGAGAAAGACATAATGAAGGGATATGGATGCCATGGATCCCCCCCCCCCCACGCGCGCGCGCCCTCTTCTACCATTTCAATCCCCAAGCGCCGCCTACCCCGCTTCCCAAACGCTGCACGCCTCTCACACGCCTGAACAAACTATATTATGCATGCGTGTGGTGCAGTCGGTGCGCCAGTCATTGATACAACAGTTTCAGATTGCAGTAGAGAAGCCTATCCCCTTACCCCTTCTACAGTCCCCACGTCTTGTAAAAAACAACGCCTCCATGCATGCGTTCATTTCACATTTCCTTTCGTTGGGGAAGCATCCACTTTTCGTTTTTTCCTGCATTCTAGTCGTGTCCCGCTTGTGACCCGGCGAAGGAAACGCCTACATCTGTTGGTACCTGCGGCGCGATGAAGAACTGCGCGAAACGGTCGAGAGCCCCCTTGAGGTAGTCCGAGCTCACGTCGAAGAAGTACACCGTGTCTTCCGTGTCCGTGTAGGCGTTGCTAGTTCCTCCATGCGAGCTGAGGTACGTGGCGTAACTGTAGAATGTGCCGGGTGGGGGGGGATACTCGTCATCACAATTGTGCATGGACGGGGAGGGGGCTGGGCGCGTACAGCAGAGACTCGTGCGCCGAGGGCGGGGTAGCAGATGGCGACATCACAACCGGGGAACCATAGTCCTACCGTCAACCGGTGTAGTGAAGACGAGCGGGACAATAACCCATCACAGTAGGGGTGGTTCATCGTCACACATCACACGAGCACACCGCTTCTTTGCAATCAGCCGGTGGTCACACACGCCAGCACAGCACAGTGGAAGCCCGAAACAACTTCCACCGAGCAGACCTGGCTCGGTGTGGCGGAAGCGTTGCGGTGGGCCGCGCGTCTGAGCAGCCCTACCGACCACCGACCGCTACCCTGGCCGCATGACAAAAAATATTTCTTCCATTCACTGCAAAGACTTCAGCCCACCCCTTCCTACACATCTCGAAAGGGTAGTTTTTCTGTGATTGTATAAATATTTCCTAAAGAGATCTTTACGGAGTACCGTGGGTACGTCTCGCAGAACTAGTACTCCCAATCGCACAGCTTGCATCGTGTCCCGCGGGAATTTTTGCCCGTCGCCGCGACCAGAAAAAAGGTGCTGGGACGGGGCGGATGGCGATCCGGTACAAATCGCAAGCAGCTGCGCGGCAGCGAGATTAAATCATATCGACGGTTGCATCCTTTCTGCTGCACGTGATACATACCGCCCACACTATTGGCGTGCAGACGATGCACGCCGAGACAAGGTGACCTCACTCATGCAACACGGTAAAGGTGGAGTTCTACTTCGCTTGACTTGTCCTATTTCGGTTCCTCAGCAGAGAAAAAAGCGGATGTGAAGACGCCCAGGGTGGAGGAGAGAAAAATAGGCACACGGGGTACTTTGTTCGACGAGGGATTGATTGATTCAACGGCACCCACCTATCGCTATTTCTCTCAACACGACGATGATCGTGCCGTCAATATCCACAAGCACCGTGGCCTCGATCGATTTCTTTTTGTCTTACACTTGCAACACTACAATTCCATCTCCTCTCGCTTCTTTCACTCCACTCTTCTCGCCTGGATTCATCCGGGTACTTGTCGGTTCCCAGGAACAGGAGGTGCTCGCAGAAGTGAGCCAGGCCGGGAAGGTCATCTGTCAGAAAAAAACAACAACGAAAAAGCAAGCAATTTGCGTGGACAAATTTCCGCCTTGGATACTTGATCCCTCACGAGGTCATCCGAGAAAACGAAGAACAAACTAAAAGTACGCAATGGCTAAATTTAAAGAGAAACTTTTGCCTTGGATTCTTGATCCCTCACAAAGGAGAGTTTGGTATCACAGGAGGCTTGGTGCTTGAACGCCTAATGAGGCAGACGGCGAATAAAACAACCTTTTGAACGTCTAGAAACCACCGGACTGTCTTGTTGTATGGTCGGAATCCTTCTAAGCCTACACCACACGTGTCGCGCAATCCTTTGATTGCGCTTTCGCCAAAAGCGTGTTCTTGAGTGAATGCGGTCAATTTTCTGCCGGGTCATATTTTCACCTGGATCGGAGAAGTGTCCCACGTGCACGTCCATGGCGGCCGCCGACGTCTTTGTGTTCGGGTCTGAGATAAGCAGCACCTTTTGTTGGTCGGTCGGTCATCGACGGTCGCAGAAGAAGCAGCAGCAGCGGCGGCGGCGGCGGCGGCGGCGGTTACGTTCATGTCCCACCGACCGTTCAGTTGACCCTCGAGCGGAACCAAGCTTATAAACTCAACACGTTTCAACAAGTGTTCGATACCCGGGTGTGTGGTGGCGAGAGAGGAGGTCGAGAATGCGGTCTGCTTCCAAACGACAGTTAGCCATGCCTCATGAAGAGGACCGCCTACGCAGGATGTTAACAGTATCTAGAAAAAGAACAGGGAGGGGGCACGCAGACCCTATCCCTTACCCTATCCCTAACCCCGAAGCACGGATTGAATGCTTTATCCCATATGTTTGCTTGATACATTTTTTTGCGTAGACTACTGCATGAAGACTGAACCAATCAAAATGTACGATGGGTTGGGGCACAGCGTTGGTCACGTCAGACAGGGAGCATGCCCACTGCAATCCTTCTCGACAGGGCGCACGACGCGGGCAACACTTGAACTCGTTGAACGCGGCTGTGTCGGAGCGCCGACAGCGAAGCGGGCACACCGGGCACTGCTGCGTGATGATTCATACCTTCATTCCGCTGGCAAGAGATATCGCGCGGTAGCTCCTCGGGTCGTTCGGGCTCTTGTCGACCTGTCGGGGGTTGTTTTGACATGCGAGTAGTAGTCCGGATTTTCGCATGAACGCATTCTCATGAGTCGTCCAAAGTGTGAACACTTGCAAGCAATCACCTCAGTTCATCGCACTATTTCGTACTTCACCGCCGACAAACCAGCAAGGAGTCGACAGCTTCCGAAAACTTTTCCCGCATCAGCTGTCCAACATGAACCATCTGCGGAGTTTTCAGTATCTCGCATGGGTGGGAGCTGCCGCACCCATAAAAAGTAGTAACAGCCACAAACGGCTACGGTCGTGAATACTTAATGCTACATACTACATGTAGCTGTCGTTTATGGTGCTCTCACTCTGGAACTCTAGCGGAACATCGAATTCCCTGCCCCCCCCCCACCAATCACCCGCGCACTTCGAGACAAGATTCTTGGTCCTATTCGTCGAAAATGCTCACGGCTGACGCACACTTGCCACCGTCGTCCACAACTGTTTTTCTCTTGCTCTCACCTCCCCGTACACCCGAGCCCTCGACGCCTCCCCGGCAGCCTTCCGGTCGCCGCTGCCGGCCGCCGCCGAGCTAGACCCCGCGACCGCAGCCCACGCGGCGGCAGCAGCGCCGGCCGATCCTAGGGTATTGAAAAACTCCCTCCGGGTCACGCCGCCGCCGCTTCCGCCGTCGGATGTACGCTGCTCGTTGTCGTTAGCGGGTTGGTCATCTTGGCGAAGAGCGCTGCTGCAGCGTTGCTGATGCTCCTGGTCATTGCGAGACCGAGCAGGATTGACTGCTCGTCCGCTGGTGGTGGTGGTGGTGGTGGTGATGCCAGGAGATCTTGCTGGGGGCAACGGCAGGTGGAAGCTTCGGGTGCCTGGTCGAGCCGTGTCATGCAAGGTTATGGGTAGGGTTCATCACTGCTGTACCAGCTGTTGAGCAAGGTGCACAGAGAAAAATCGGCTGTGATGGGCACGGCTGCGGAGTACCCGTGCTGTCGAAGCCATCGTATTTCAACACATGCTCACAAACATGTGTAAACAACGAGGGTCTGTCAGAACATGGCGAGGGTTGTGTGCGTAACAGCAGCATAGCACACCGCCTGGGAGGGTCTGGCTGTCGGCAGGACTCGATTTTTCTCACACCTTGGGATAGTATCAGAACCTGAGCAGCCGCAAGCACCCTTCGCATCCTTCCAACTCCTGCTGCAAAGCAGGCGTGTGCCGGTGAGTGCTATGTATGTACTCTCTCCCACAACGGCGACGAAAGGGAGTGAAAACGCGGCGAGATTACGCAGAAAATCAAGTTCTCGGTTCTGGAGGCTTTTTGTTTGAGGGGACGGGGGAGCGATGGGCAGCTGGAGAGCGATCTTTCCAAACGTCTCAAAATCTTTGCAGTTTGTTGCGATTTTTGGCCTCTCCTCAAGCAGTATCCTCAGGCAAACCAATCATAATGCTGTATCGATTAGGATGCTGGCCCGTGTCTCGCTTCTTGCCGCTCAACTGCTGTGTTTATGCGTAGAGCATGAAACTGCTGTCGCGTCTGCGGGAGTGGAGTGAGTGTGTCGTCCACCGGCGGGGTCTTGCAGATCTCTTCAAGCTTCCGTGGCTCCAAGTAGGTGAGAGAATCCATGACACGGAAATAACGAAATGACGAAATAACAACCGTCCCTTTTTTTCCAAGCACGACTGGGCAACTGTTAGCCGTACGTATAACAAGGGTATCCTACCACATCTTATATTGAAACTGCTGTGTGTGGTCTGCAGTACGGCCGTGACATATTGAGATATCGACGGCGTGGAGTACTATAATAGTGCTGCTGTAGTTTACTGTAGGATTTATTGTTAACCCATTTTCGCACATATCGGGGTTGCCGCACCCATTGTGGATTTTCGTCGCTTGGCAACGACGTTGTAAAACACGCCGATCGCTTCGTGAGACAACCAGGTTACCGTATTTTTTTTGCGTTGTTTTATTCGTTCGCGGTAACCGTGAATTGTGGTCGAGTAGATCATGTTGTGCGGGGTCGAGAACCCTCACTCCGCGCATAGGGGATAATCACACCACGGTGTGTTCAATTCGTAGAGCATCCTCGAGGCAGTTACACAGTGCTTATAACTGTCTATGGAAAGCACCATAAAATAATCAAGTCATTCGCAGCTGTCGTCCGTACGCAAGGAAGTAAGCACAAGATGCCGAACACCCTTAGCAGGATGCAGCGCACCCTTAGCAGGATGCAGCGCACCCTTCATGCGACTCGCCGAATACCTCACGACCCTTCGCGCTTGGTGATGTGAGAGCCTGGTCCGGTGAGAACCGGCGTGCTCCGTCCCGGCTTTGTAGGGATGCGAGGTCAACGACCTAACGACTACGGCATGCATGGCTATTAGTACACCCCCCCCCGTGCGACAAACGTTCAGAGTCGAAATGATTTAATAATTTCATTATCGCACGAGGATCGGTGATATCGCACGTACCGGTGGCACCACACCCTCGTGCGGTAAAAGGCCAAGAACGAACCCGTCTAAAAATCGTTCGCATCCCCTTGCATTCTCTCGCATCCTTACGGTATGTGTCTCAAAAAGAAAGCACTGCCCGTCGTCCTCCACCCCACGCCCAATATCCTCTTGGGGCGAAAGTAAAGTGGTTTCACGTCAAAGGCAAGCACTAAATAGAAATGCGAAAGGTTCCCCCTGACAAGCGGTGATAAGTTTGTGGCGAGTTGACACACAAACAGCTTGTCAGGCTTTGTCTTCCTGTAAACTCGAAACCGCAACAAACCCGACGCCCGCCCAAACGTGGTGGCGAACTTAGCGTGTCACCTGTTTGTGGCAGAGTACACGACGCTGCACGCCGTCTTGAAAGCAGACTTCGCTCTTGAAACTTCGAAACGTTCCAATCTACCGCCAGCCAACCCCAAATTTCCTGGCATGTCCTCCTGGCAACAAACACAACCTGCATGCATCAACCCGGACGTACAGCAAACACCCAACACATGCGGCGATTCTTCTACCCCACACAAGGTAAAAACATGGGTCACACCAGAACATAGTGCGGGAGAGAACAGCAGTCACCACGATGAGCGACTAGTTGTGGCAGCACTTGAGAATATGGCCCACGTCGCGCTTGACAGCAAATACGCGAGCGCAGTGCCTGAGAGTTCGAAGCGCCGAGACCACCTCGATCAAGGGTACAGCAGCAGTCGATGGCCCTCGACGGTGCCGGCATGGGCTACAGGCCAACTCACCGGGACTAGTACTCAAGAGGCACGGGCCCTGCTCAAGGAGAGCACGAAACGGCTGGATTACTGCTGCCTGTGTCGCACGCTTATTACCGGCACTACAGTAGCGCGACACGGCTGAATACCTGCTGCCTGTGTCGCACGCTTATTTGCCGGCACCACAGCGGCCAACCAAACGGCACTATTCAACCGGCGCTTCTTCCGTAGGGCTCGCAAGAAAACCCACGCCCGAGCGAGGTCCACCATCAAGTCCTCTTCGCCAAGAAGCTCGCGGGCAAGGCAAGGGCGGCTCGCGCCTGCAGCGCGGACCCCCACCCCAACGCCTGGCGTCCCCGCGACTGCTCCTCCTCCCCCGCCGCCGCCGTCTCCCTTCGGTACTGGTTCGCTGCCGCACCGCCGGCTGCTGCTGCTGCTGCCGCCGCCCCCGGTCCCCCCCGCTGGTGCACGCGCCCGTTTTCGTCGCCCCCCAAGGCGCCGCCGCCAACACCACCACCGTTTCGGCCCGACACCTTGGTGCCACCTCGGTTCATCACGGGGATGTGGCCTATTGTCCCCCGCGCCCTGTCACCCCCATCGCCGCGAGTGGGACCGGTGTCCTCACCAGCAGACCACCTGGCGAGGGAGCGCATCTTGTCCCCCTTGGCCTGCCGGCGTCGCCTCGCGGCCCTAAGCCTCCACAGCGAGGCCGACGCGTCTTGCTGGGACATGGCCGGCGGCGGCGGCGGCGGCGGCGACGACGCCGCTCTCCGCGCCCCGGCGCCGCTACTACCGTCATCATCACCGTCACCATCCCCTTCGTCGTTGCGGCTACCTTCGTCCCCGCCGCCGCCGCCGCCCCGTCCCAAGTGCTCGACCACGGCGACGCCTCCAGAGGAGACGCTGATAACTCCGGACCCGACAGCACCGAGAAGACCAGACGGCACCGGGGGGTGGTGCAACGCCAACGACCGCCGCCCGCCGCCGCCGCCGCCGCCGCCGCCGCCGCCGCTGCCGCCCACGCTGAACACCCCTCCTCGTTGTTCGGGAGGAGAACCAGCCGCACTAGCGGCGGCGGCAGCGGAGGCGTTTCTCGTCCGCGTTGGTCCGTCGGCGGCGGCGATGCGCGGGGGGTGGAGGTCGAAGCCCCCCACGGCGGACACTCGGACGCCGGCGCCCTTGAGGGTGTGCCGCTCACGCACAACCGTGCGCAAGCTCTCGAAGAGTAGGGACGCAGCGGTCCTACAGCAGCAGTTTGTTGTTGTTGTCGTCGTTGTTGTTGTTTCGTATGATGACAAGAGTTGCAGCGGGGGGTGGGGGCAGAGAATTGGCAAAAAAAACGAAAAGGCGGGCCAAGAAATGGATGAGCTGGTTAGAACAGGAGGGTCGACGGGCGGACCCTGACATGGCAAAATAATAAGTTTTACCACGTGTGTGGCACTCAAATCAATGTGTGCGGTGTGCGGGCGGGACAAAAAGAACGTATCTGCGCTTGATCAACAAGGGTTCCCGCTCTCTTGCAGTCTGCCAGGCTTTTGCAGTTTCCGACCGACGCTTTCGCAAGACGACACGCAGGGGGGGAACTACCAACACAAATCCCCCCCTGCATACCCAACATGCGTTTCAAAAACGCCTCTTCCAAGTGGTCCATTGCTCCCTCGCACCCTTGTTAACAAGCACGATGACCACTAGACTACTAGTCAGCGCTGACTAGTGGTGGAGGGTTCATCGTGCTTCTCAAAAACCCATGGGCGATCAGATGCCGGGCTGCTGGCCTAGCACTTTGCCTCACTTTTCGTCGACGCTATCCTCCTTCCCTCCCCTTGCTCTCTCACCTGTGAATCGCTGTGTCGTACGAGTAGGTGTCCAGCATCGCCAGGATCACGTGCCGGAACTCTCCCAGGCTGCTGCCGGCGTGGTCGCTCACGACCTTCTTAACGATGGCCGGCAGCGGCACGTAACCTGCAACAGCATTATCCATCAGCATGTGGACCAGTTTTTGTACAAGGAAGGCCGAAGTCGAAAGAAGCACCATCACCTACCAATTTTCTCGGCGTTTCGGTAGTCCAAACAGCCTTGATTTATGCGCGCACAGAATCCCTATTATCGCCAACATTACAAACAAAAAAAAATCGTTCTTGACATGCGTCTGTCTTTCTGCACGATATCGCGACAAACACTGCCACATCGACCGGAGCATCTTCGCTGGATCTTTCACCACGTCTCAATCGTGGCACACATGACCTGCATCCATCCATCAGTCGGCGACCAAAAATGCTTGCAAAATCGAAATCCAAGGGGGGGTGAAGGGCACGCAACACCTCAGCACCGTAAGGATATAGCGGAGGTGCACGATGAGACATGCTACAGCCAAAGGAAGAGGCAAAACTAAAGGTACATGAATAGATTTTCTCGTGAAAGACGAAAGAGCACCCACCGGCCATGCTACTCAGGGTCCGCTGCAGCAGAGCATCCAGCACGCCCCCCATCACAGCCGCTGTCTGCGGGAGCTCTCCTGCCGCCTCGCGCCCCCGCCCGGGAGCAGCAGCAGCAGCAGCAGCAGCAGCAGCAGCAGCGCGGGGGACACTCGCTGCCGGATCCGCCGCCGCCGCCGCCGCCGCCGCTCCCCGTGGGGGGGGCATCGAGGCTAAGGAAGACAGAGGGCCGCTTCGGCAAGCGGCTCCTTTCGCGCTGAGGATCTTGTCGAGGGTCTGAAACCACAGGCTCGCGCTTAGGTCCAGCTCGTCGTCGTCGTCGAAGTGATCGCCAAGGGGTGATTGCCCTCCTCCTCCTCCTCCTCGGCCCTAAAAAAATCAAGGAGGAGGAGAACACGGGAGCGGCAACAGCGGCGGCAGCAAACGTGGAAGAACACTATTAGAGAAGGTGAGCAGCAGTCATGCGCTTTTGACAAACAGCGGCAGCAGCACCAGCGCTCTGCTTGCCTGCCTACCCGCCTCTGTCTGTGTCGGTGTGGTACGTCTTGCCACACACCACCCGCCACCTCCAAACGTACTATCATATCTCGCCCGCCCTCCCCCCCTCGTTCTACGCCTCGCACCTCGCCCCCCGCAGAACCCCCCGCTGTTGAACGATGTCTTGCCCCGCTTGCCCGCCGAGCCGACATTGATCCAACCGATCCCCCCGAGGAGGTTGGGGAAGCTCGTTGGCACATCTCGATGGCCACCATCAGGCTGCGAGTGGCTTCTCGACCCTGTCCAAGGTGACGGTGGTCGGAACGGGGGCAGCAACGCAGACAACCACAGGGCGTTATCGGTGGCGTTTGGTGGTGGTAGTGGTACTTGTGGTGGTGCTTGTTGTTGTTGGTGGTAGTGGTGATGGTGTTGCTGTTGTTGTTATCGTTGTTGTTGACATGGCTGTTGATTTTGTCCTGTTGGTGGTGTTGTTAACGGCGGCGGTGGTGGTGGCGCCTATCTTTCGCTAGTCTCATGAGGACCCACACGCGGTTCGCCTGCAGGCTAGGAAGCATAGCGAAATAGGTCGTGAGGGCGAGCCTCAGGCGAAGTGAACGATATTCTCTGCAGAAATCGCTTGGTAGTGACAAACCGCACTTGTGGAAAGGAACAGCTGCAAGTTGCCCGGGATACCACTGAGGGCAACTTCCACCGAACGAAAAGTAAATTTCTTCTCTGGTGCATTGTCACATAGATGTGCGAGGGCGTGCGTATGCTATCGAAGTACTTTCCCATTTCGACGGCGCTTGCATTTATTAACCCCACGACATTTTGTCTTGCCTACTAAAACAAAAAAACAAACAAAATGAAAAAAAGTTCATCTGTGACCTTCCTCTTGTGTGACCCCGGCTGTTACGCCAGGTATATACCCCGAAAGGCCTCTCAACCGGCGGCAGAACAGATGGGACAAACACACACACACACACACACACTGGTAAGGAGCTCGGATCCCAGGATCACACAGAATGCCCCTCTAAGCCCCCAAGCTTCGAAAGCGCCTCTCTCTGGTAGTGAGGGAGGGAGTCAAATAGGTCCACTGTCGCAAACCGGAACACACCCTGCTGTAGCCCGTTCTAGGAAACGCACACACCTCTTGCAAGCCTTCCAACGCGACCTTGCTGGCCCATCTCGCCCACGCCGCCGTCCCGGCCCTCGGCCCCTTGGCCCCACCCCCCCCCCACCCTCCGGTGCCCCCGACCGCCCCACCTCCTCCTCCTCCGTCACCAAACCGTTTCGACGACAGCGAGGCCGAAGAAGACAGCGGCGACGCAGATCTCCCCCCTCCCGGCGGCGCGGCCGAGGCCTTAGCTGCCGTCGACGATGATGAGAGGAGCGCCATTTCCGCCGCCAGCTCCCTCAAGCTCGCGGTCTGGAGAGCCGTGCGGAGGGAGGCCAGCCGCGCGGACAGCGTGCGCAGGGCGAGGGCGAGCGCCCCCGGGACGTCTCCCTTTCCGCTCCAGGAGGTAGGGGGTCGCGTGGGCCACGCCGCGCTCTTGGCACAGGGCCAGCGTGTCGTCGGGGCTGTACCTGTTTGATGCCGTTTGGGGGTGGTTGAAGGTTTTTAGTGGTGGTGGGGGCGGCGATGCTTTTTTTTTACTTTTTTTTGGGAGTGTTACATAGAGGGAAAAATATTTTTGGGGGGGGGGGCTGGGCGTGGAAACCATGGAACCCCCCCCCCCGCTCCCCGGCGGAGGAAATGAGACAGAGAGGGTGTGACATGGACAAGTTTGGTAAATTAGACAACAGCGAAAAAAGCGATCGCGATAATTGGGGATAGATGGTGGGCACAAGAGGCCCTAGAGGACGGGGATAAGATGTGCAAGAAATTTTTATGGAGTTTGTGGCAGAAACGTAAAGAGCTCCCAAATGTTGGTGGTGTCTCTAGTAGGTGTAGGAACGGTGCTCCGTCTCGAAAGGGACGCGTGGTCAATGGTCAAATGACTACGGCAAGCAACAAATGAGTACGCCCCCCCCCCCCCCCCCCCGCTCCCCGGCCAGCTTATCTAAACAATGTAGGCACACAGCAAGACGAACCGGTGGGTCAGCTACAACACAATCACCGCACAACATCGTCGGTTCGCCCGAAAAAACACGGCATACATACGATCGACGAGACAGAGAAACCACATCGGTCATTTTCTCGCTTACCCCGTGCTGCTGGACAGGAAGGGGTACACCTCGTACGGTCGGAACCTGACGAGCAGCCGCACGTGGAGCGACCTGTCCCCGTCGTCCAGTCCTGCCGCGAGCCCCGAAGATGGGCGCGACCCGGGACCCCTGACACCGCCAACGCCCACACGGTCGTCGCGGTGGTGGTGCCGGCGGACACCCTGTTGCCCCCCGCCCCAACCGCTCCCGCCGCGGGCGACGTCTGGACCGCCGGACCCCGGCGGCGATGGCGACGACGAGGCCCCCTGCTGCTGATCGGTGGGTGGCCGGAGCAGGGCGTCGAGGTAGTCGAACTGCAGGGTGGTTGTCGCGGAGAGGGCCGCGAGAGCGGCCTTGTGGTCCCCTCCGAACGCCTCCCCGACGGTGAAAACCGCCTCCGCCTTTCGGTCAAGTCAAGTGCGTGTGCAACAGCAAGCGAGATCGTTGTGTAAGTTAGGCAACCAAGAAACACCACAAGACTAAGTGGGAGTCTGATTTTACATGTTATTTCCGCCTTGGGTGTATGTGGGGTAAGCGAGAGTCGTAAAATTATGCGTCAAACACAAGATTAAGTGGGAGTCTGATTTTACATGTTATTTCCGCCTTGGGTGTATGTGGGGTAAGCGAGAGTCGTAAAATTATGCGTCAAACACAAGATTAAGGGGGAGCCTGATTTTACATCTTGTTTCCGCTTTTGGGTTTGCGTGGGGCAAGCGAGAGCGGTAACATTAGGCGGGAAACGTGTAAAAAAAAAAACGTGCGAGTCTGATCATAACCTGGTCGAGAAAGCCACGTCGATCCCTTGAGCCTTAACTAAAAGCGGCTCCCATTGTGTGTAGAGCAGTACATACCACCGTCTGCGGTTCACAAAAACTTTGCTCGATATAATCGGACGCGGCGGGGCTGTTTGTCGATAGAACGATGATGCAGACCCCAACCAAACGGTATTCTGCCATGGGTCGCTAGGTCCAACCAAGGTGGAAATGAACAATCAACGCGTGTCAGAGGCGTTGCGCCGTGTCCGACCAAAAGAGTAACGTTCGATTGCACTCTTTCTTGTCTTTCGCGCGAGGAGGTTCCACCGCGCCGCGGTGGCCAGACCACACCGTACACGAACAGCTACCAATTTCGTTATTTTTCAGCTTCAGTTCTTGTGCAGGAGGTAAACGTGCATGTGTGGCGTGCGTGTGCTGTTCCCTCCCTAACCTTGTCCAGCTCCATGAGCTGCGGCAGCTTCTCCAGCACCACGTCTCTCTTCTCCGACAGCAGCTCCGCCTCCCCCTCCCCGCCGCCCCCATGTGTTCCGGGAGGGGACCCGTCGCCGTGCTTGGCCTGTCGTGGCTTGCTGCTTGTGTTGCCGGAGGACGGTGCCGCCGCCGTAGCCGCGCGCGCGATCTCCTGGCGGATGAACCCGAACACCTGCGACCTGCCGTTGTATATGGGTACACAGGAGTCAGTTTGGCGTGTACGTGCATCGTTGTTGTTTGTTGATGATGTCTCCACATTTAAAAAGAACGTTCTCCGGTCTCTGGTCAAGTGTACCTTTTGGCATCAGCATCCATGCCGTTCTTGTTGTCGTCTTCACATTTACAAATGGTTCCGGTCTCTGCTCACTCAAGTGTAGCTTTTTACGTCAGCATCTGTACCGTACCGTACCGTTGTCCAACTGGCGCGGAAGGAAGGACACCTTCCGTGATACAGACCAACAAGTAGCCAAGAAAACGTGGTACACGCTCCGAATAATCAAAAAGAGAAATCAGGAACGCAAGAGGAGGCCGTCAGAGAGCGCACTGCGACCGTGGAGAGGAGGCGACAAAGCGCATCGAATAATTGCACTGCAGGCAAAGAAGAGAACAAGAAAGGGGATGAGACGCACTTCACCTGCTTGTTCGTCGCACGAGAAACACCACCAAAGTAACAAAAAAACGACGATTGGTTTCGTACAGCAGTTACGCACCAAAAAAAATATTATATCACCATCTCTCGTGTTGACGAAAAAGGAGAGAGGCATGGACGCAGAGGGAGGCATGCATGCGCACCGCAGAGCAGCCGCGAGAGTCTGGTGAGTGACCTCGCGTCACATGTGTATAGCTCTTCGCTCCGCGTCATACATAGCTCTTGGGTCGGGAAGAGGCTTAGGCCATACGAGCGACGGGCCATTAAATAGAGGACCAACAAATAATCCACAAAACAGGTTTGTATACCCTTGAGGGGGTCTGCACAGCAGGGGCGCGGGGGGGGGTTGGTACGTCCTACAAAGAAGGAACGCGGACTTCCATTGTGTGCACAAAAGAGGTGTGGAAAATTGCGGGCGGCGACGCACCGAAATGCGTCTTCGGAGTCTTGCAAGTAGCACCGAACTATCCTCG